TTTATCAAAATTTCAATTAATACAATAGGACTTTTTTAATTGCAAAACAACAAAAAAATTAATAATTCTATCTATATATTAGTCAAATAGATGTTAATAACAATAAGTTAAATAAATATAATTTTATAGAGGATTTATTGAAATCGCTCGAACTCGATCAGCAATTTTGCTTCTGTTATCGATTAAAATCATGACTCTCTGGGAGTTTGATTTGCTTTGCGTAAAAGTACTCATTGTATTCATATCTGTTCATGGATGTTAATACCAAAAGACAACAGCGAAAAAATCCTTCTCTCTGAGTTCGCAAATTTAATTCAGTTTTTCGCGTCTCTCGAGTTCACGGCGAGGAACGTATACGGGGCCGGATATAAAGAACACGGCACAAAAACGAAGTTAATCACGAAGGCAAAGAATTTCGCCCGTCGAAAGGCACGTGCACATGTGCGCATATATTTGTACGCGTGAATCACATACGTGTACAAATAGCTATTTAATATCCAGGCGTCCTCCATTTTTTTTTTCATTACACACACCGTTCTTCGACGGTTTCCTATCGGTGGCTGACGTTGAGAAATAGTAAAAGCAGGCCGGAAGAAGGAATTCTTAGAATGCAGGCCTTCTCTGATGACCTGGGATCAGCTCGGAGATTTCGGCTTCCTTTCCTCCCTTCCCAACTTTCGCTGTTACTGAAAATATTTCAGATACAATCTGTCTTAACTTGCGCTTGAGAGAAGGTCCAACTTTATCATTCAACGAAAATGCGATAAGTACAAGCCACTCGAGTGTTTTTGTATTAACGCTTATCTTAGCTTATTTTATAAAGAAGAATTGTAATAAAAAAATAAATAAAAGTATAAGAGTTATAATGAAAAGTTTGCTTCTTCGTATTTTTTTAAATCTATCTCGATTTATCTGATAATCAATCTTACTTTGGACTTACATTTTCCATTTGCTAGCACAAATCGATACAGCATCTTTCTGTCTTACTCGTGGAATGTCAAGAAAAATAGAACAACGTTTGCATCAATTTGTGTCATCGAAAGCATTTTTTAATATCCGCTAACGAATTCGCTGGAATAATTTGGAAAACTGTTATAGATATACTAATGGTATAAGTAATCAATTTTACTTTAATATCCATTGATTACACATCATTGTTGTCATTTGAAAAATTAAATTACTTCCGCAAAAATATTAAATAATAAAA